TGGGACCAGATAATAATTCCCATAATCAATTTTTGAATAAATTTGATATCTTTCGATTTTGTGTGTCCACTAATATCTACCCACAATCATTCATAATAATTTCTGGGTGGCCAATAATTTTTATCCATAATCATTTCTTGAATAATTCAGAAGGGGAGTCTTGAAGCAAGTTCAAGTTATCTCCGTGTGTCTTATAGGTTACTGACGCACGGTTGGATTGCCTACATCACACCATTGGGTGCGGTCTTTTTTCGGAACCTACGTGAATGCGAGATGTTTTGTGCACTGCCTGCCCTTTTATTTGTTGAATAATTCAGGCATGTCGATTCTGGGTGTCCACTAATTTCTACCCATGTTCAATTTTATGACTAATTTAGACATTTTTTAGTTTTGGGTGTTCCGTAATTTCTACCCATGTTCATTTTTCTTGAATAATTTAGATATTTTACTATTTTGGGAGTCTATAAATTTCAAGAGTTTATAACTTTTTTTGTGTTCTTGTGAATCATAGTGGTTTGGATCTATTGATTTTCATCTACTGCTGAAGCTCTTACATTACCATGTTTTCTTATAAGGGGTTACTAGCAAAAATGTTTGGCTTGTAAAATGATTGTGAATATAATGACTAATGAACACAGACGGATCCACAATTTAAACTCTATGAGACTTTTAAGGTTCTTAGCATTAAACTATTGTACTTCTAAAGTTAGGGTTTCATATCTACTATTTTTTAGTGAATTTTTTACGCATAAAATTATGCACCAAGTCAAAAGTACTAGGTTCAGATGAACCTACTACTGCTATGCTGCATCCGCCCCCTGCTAATGAAATGGCCTATATAGAGTGGAATGATTTCATATGAAGGCGTAGTTGATTGGCTGATTGATTTATAAAATGGATGTGATAATTGATCTCCTCTATTGCTAGACAAGTCCAGGGAAAATAAGTCACATATGTATTACTTCTGCTGAAGTTGATTATTTGCTGGATAGGCATGTTTAGTGTCTTATATGATATCATTTCAACCCTTTGTTACAGGTCATTTCATTAGCAGTTCCAGGATTCAGGTCATTGTGTTGCACCTGCTATATATATATTCGGAAACAGTCTCTCTGCCCTGCCAGGGTAGGGGTAAGGCTGCGTATATCATACCCTCCCCAGACCCCACTTGTGGGATTATACTGGGTTGTTGTCGTTGTTGTCCTTAAATTTTTTAATACCTATATGAAGACCAAGTTTGAGACTGTGAATGTGTGTGCACCTACTACCTAATTTTGATTGCTGGATCGTCTTCTGCTTCTTTAGGAGTTTTCTTTGGGGCCTTTGTGGTTTTTGTGTTGGTCTGCTTGAATGAATGCCTTTGGCAGAATACATTTAATTCATAGCGAATGTGTGTGAAAAGATTAAAAAAACAGTGACTAATTCAGTGTGAACTCAATGTAGAAATGCTGTATATTCTAAAGCTCTGAAATCTCCTTGCTTATGAGGAGGAGGCCTTCTTGATGTTTCTTTTAATTGAATCCGCTTGTCTTGAAATCTTTATAAATTTGTCTATTGGTTTATGTCTTGAATATCCTGTGCAAGAAACATTGGGCATTGCAGTGATTTCATTTTCCCAGTTTCATCTGGTCAGAATTGAACACTTTGTACTAGTTGCTCAGGTAGAAATATCAGAAAGAAGATCAATTGAAAGATACCATTTTTGCTTTGTTTGATTGTTGCTATCTGTGATATGTGTTTCTGGTTACTGTTTGATTCTTCCCCCTTCTAGAGGAAAAGAACAAAGTGCCTGGAAAAAAGGGGCAACTCTATGCAACCTACTGTTTTCTCTGTTATTTATAATTGTCTATAACAAACCTGTTCTTATATATGTCTGTACAGGGTGATCCACTTAATGTCAAAGTAAACAAGCTAACATCTACAAAGACACAACTACCATATGACTATTACTACTTGAAGTATTGCAAACCTGCTGAAATTTTGAATAGTGCGGAGAATTTGGGGGAGGTTCTTCGAGGGGACCGCATAGAGAATTCAGTTTATACTGTAAGGATATATGCTTTTTCCTTCTAGCTTGAAATTGGCATTAAAAATATGTTTGTTCATGTACTTACGAGTGAACAAGCTGAATTGGTTATATCTTGTGAACTAATACACAGTTCCAAATGAGACAAGAACAGACATGCCAAGTGGTCTGTCGACAAAAACTTGATGCTGAATCTGCAAAGAACTTCAAGGAAAAGATTGATGATGAATACAGAATCAATATGTAAGATTAATCTAGTGTAGTTTTGTTCCAGTTCAGTCCCACCACAGCATGATATCTTTGCTCATCTTTTTGCTCCGCCACAAAAATTAAACATGGATTATTCAAATAATTATGCAGGATTTTGGACAACCTTCCTGTTGCTGTTCTTAGACAAAGGCGAGATGGAAGTCAGTCAACTACTTATGAGCATGGTTTCCGTGTTGGGTTCAAGGGAAATTATGCTGGGGTTAGTGCAGCACTGAATTGCTATAGAATGGTGACTTAATCCTTGCTAAGTAATCTAACCCTTAATGTTTTACTTTCTTCTGCCAGCGTAAAGAGGAGAAGTATTTTATCAACAACCATTTAAGCTTTCGTGTCATGTACCACAAGGACCCTGAAACTGATACTGCGCGTATTGTTGGGTTTGAAGTCACTCCAAATAGGTTTCAATGCTAACCTGTTCCTTGCTATTGTTTTCACACTCTTTGTTCTTGGGAGGGCTGTTCTTTTCTCACTTGATTTTTCGCAACAGCATTAATCATGAGTACAAGGATTGGAATGAGAAGAACCCTCAAGTGATGACGTGCAACCACAATACAAAAAATTTAATTCTAGGTGGCGTTGTACCCCAAGAAGTAGATACAGATAAAGGTGTTGTATTCACCTATGATGTTTCCTTCAAGGTATTCTCTTACTGAACCGTTCTCTCTCCTACTTCAGATGTGACACAGTATTTATTTGTTTGTTGATTTCTTATCTTCTTTTGTTTCTGCAGGAGAGTGATATAAGGTGGGCTTCTCGTTGGGATACATACCTTCTCATGAATGATGATCAGATTCACTGGTTTTCCATCATAAACTCTCTTATGATTGTCTTCTTCCTTTCTGGTATGGTTGCGATGATCATGATGAGAACTTTGTACAGAGATATTGCTAACTATAACCAACTGGAAACACAAGATGAAGCTCAGGAAGAAACAGGATGGAAACTTGTTCATGGCGATGTTTTCCGCCCTCCTATTAATTCTGGATTACTATGTGTTTATGTTGGGACTGGCGTCCAGATATTTGCGATGACACTAGTGACAATGATCTTTGCTCTGTTGGGTTTCTTGTCACCTTCTAACCGTGGTGGACTTATGACTGCCATGGTTCTGCTCTGGGTTTTCATGGGCTTGTTTGCTGGCTATTCTTCTGCACGTCTTTACAAAACATTCAGGGGAACAGAGTGGAAGAGGATTACCTTGAGAACTGCTTTTATGTTCCCCGGTATACTTTTTGCTGTCTTCTTTGTGCTGAACGCCCTCATCTGGGGAGAGAAATCTTCCGGAGCAGTACCTTTTGGAACTATGTTTGCTCTTGTGTGCTTATGGTTTGGAATCTCAGTACCTTTAGTGTTTGTTGGCAGCTACCTCGGCAATAAGAAAGCGGCCCGTGAAGAGCCAGTTAAGACAAACAAAATACCTAGACAAATACCGGAGCTGGCGTGGTACATGAAACCGGCCTTTTCAATTCTTATCGGTGGAATTCTTCCATTTGGGGCTGTTTTCATTGAGCTGTTCTTCATTTTGACTTCCATATGGCTGAACCAGTTCTACTACATCTTTGGCTTCCTATTTATAGTTTTTCTGATCTTGATAATCACATGTGCGGAGATAACTATCGTTCTGTGCTACTTCCAGTTGTGCAGTGAAGACTATTATTGGTGGTGGAGAGCTTATCTGACTGCTGGATCCTCGGCTTTATACTTCTTTGTCTACTCTGTTTTCTATTTCTTCACCAAGCTGGAAATCACAAAGCTGGTTTCAGGCATCTTGTATTTTGGTTACATGTTGATTGCATCGTATGCCTTCTTTGTGTTAACGGGAACAATTGGTTTCTATGCTTGCTTCTGGTTTGTCCGGAAGATCTACTCCTCGGTGAAGATTGACTGATGAAGAGATAGCTCATAAGTTGTTGCAAGTATAGTGAAAATGGTCTGGTGTTCTGATGATTTTGAGATTTAGTAAGAAAGGTCATGTGGATTGCATCATATGCCTTCTTTGCGCTAACAGGAACAATTGGCTTCTATGCTTGCTTTTGCTTTGTTCAGAAAATACATTCCTCATTGAAGATGGACTGACCGAGACATAGCCATAAGTCCATACCTGTATAGAGGTCTGAATTCTGATGATTTTGATATATAGAAAGTAGCAGATTTTCGTGCTGCATAGGACTAAGGCTGAAGTCTGCCTGCCAACGACTGTTTTGTGTCTGTTCACAGGCTTGACTTGTTTCTTGTCATTTAAGTTTATTTCATTTTGTTTTGTTGGTTACATTATTGCAACATTAATTGTACCTTTTTAAAACAATACATATGGTAGAATGTTACCAGAAATTTTGTTCTGTCTTGAAAACTTATGATGATGCATCTACAAATGTGTACAAGCTTGTCCTTTCGATTAGCAAATTGAAATCCATGAGAAACATTTATGCTATACTTCTGCATGTGATTAAGATAGCATTTTATGTTAGTCTCTCTAGGCCATTGCATAGTTGTCAAGAACAACACCAAGTGCTAAACAATGCAAGCACAGAATGCAACACTAGGTATCTTGACAGACAACACATGCAGATGAATACAACAACAACAACAAAAAACCCAATGTATTTCCATAAACGGGGTATGGGGAGGATAGTGTGTACGCAGACCTTACCCCTACCTTATAGAGATAGAGAGGTTGTTTCCGATATAGAGACATGCAGGTGAATAAGATGAGAAAAAGGAGCCTGTTGTTACTGCAACATCGTTAAACTATTAATGTCCAAAGCAATGAATAATTGCTTTCTTACATAGATTATACAATGGAAGTTCATGGAAGTGAAATGCTTACCAAGTCTAACGCAAACAAAATTTTGCACATAGACTCATCACTAATCATCCCTATGTGCACTTGGACCAAACCTCAAATTCTTGTTTTACAGTAGCAGGCCAATACCAATCTCAGTAACTAACATGTACAGAATCAGGGGAGCTTTGATCAAAGAGGTGTGTTGCTTAACTGTACAACTTCACCCCCAGCAAAGCCAAAAAATGATAGGTGCCGATTTTTGGATGTGTAGTAGCTTCTTCGAGAAATGTTGAATATTCAAACTATTTCTATCGCGGTGTTTAAGAAAAATCACTGAAAACCAGTAATACCGTCATGGTGATCAACTGCAAATGGCTTCCACTGAAAGTTTCTTCAATACATTTCGACATGGATCACCTCCGAAATTCTCTGGTGTCACACTTACTGAGCAAAACTCTTGCCCAACACAATTCTGCAAAATAATAATAACAATAATTAAAGATGCAAGTAGGTTTCTCATGTTTATACAAAGTGAGAAACTCAATTTTGATTCCAATCATGAAGGTCAAAACTCATCAAACTATGATTCTTAAATACCTTTTCAAAAGCGTCATATGAGCGTCGGGCATGGCAACTTCCCTGCTGGAAGCTTCCACAAACTCCCTCTGGTGTTCCAAAGCTTGCAAATTTGATTGAAGAAATCTTCTGACCAGGTGCACACCGAAGATGGGCTTTAGGTCGGAGAGGTCTGTCAAATTTACCAGATGCTAGCCTCTGCCAATTCAACAACTGTGGTTGCCACTCATATATATCAGCGCAAACACTTGCTACTTCTCTTTTGACTAAAGTGATTCCATAAGGATCTCCTCCCCATTCCTCAAATACAACTAACAAATTTCCAGTAGGATGCAGCCACGACCGGGGAACATGGTACCTGAATTTATGCTACTCTGTTAACTAATTGGAGCTTCATGTTACATAAAGAGGAAAATCCACCAAGGTTTGTCATGACTTACCATCTTTGTGAGCCCTCTCCGCAGTTACTTAGGCACTTTTTCTCGTCAAACCAGCCTTTATAGTTACAGGCAGTACAATTACCAGATGATTTGTATGCAGGCCAATGGCGTCCGAGGCTCTGACCATTTATCCATACTTGACCTTTGCTCATGGTGTTCATATCTAAAGCCAAAGGCTCATTTCCAGCTGGAGCATTGAATGTACTCTGCAAACACAGCAAAGGGATTTTAGTGGCTGGCTTTTACTCAGGTCTTTTGAAGGCAGAGATTTGAATTCTTGATATGTAAATGTAAGCACTGCACCATAAAGCTAACTCCTCTTGGTGATGCCCGTCACCTATGTTAATATACTGAGCTTTAGAAGAACCTAATATTCCTGACTTATAGAAGGACAACTTTACTTTTGTAACTAACCATGAAAGAGAAGATATGAGTTATGCACCTTATACCAAGAGAGTGGCTGTTTCTGAGCCACTAAAGAGCCCTCAACCCACTCAACAGATGGGCTACCGCTGAGCGAATGAAGACTCAGGGCTTCTCCTTTTAGACCAACCTGGTCAAAGAAATGAACAGTCAGATAGACGGACATTTAAGCAAACAATTCTTTTTTTCAAAAATCTAAAAAGACAAACCTTGTAGCACCATTTCTGCCATGTTAAATCTCTTGTCCCCTCGTTAAGACCACTAAGTGAAACTGGTCCAAGAACACCAGCATTCCATGTCTCAAAATGAGGGCCAACATTCTGCATTCAAGCACATGTAGAAGCAAACCAAATGATGAGCATATTTTGGAATTACTGAAGTATTCTGGGATGGGAAGTATAGATAGAAAGGCAGAAAAGGAGGCGTCGGCTCTGAAATGATGGAAGATTGAATCATTCCTTCATTCTATTCCGGCTTTTCCTTTCCGGCGGGTGTAACTCTCAAAATCAGTTTTACTCGAATGCAGCACAAAGAGTCATGCAGCTGCCATGAGGAGATAAACAGGCATATGTATGATATATGCACGTGGAATAGAGAAAGAGGAGGGACAAACCGGAAGACCAACAGCAATGCTTAGCAGAGAAATCTTGTTGACGCCAGCTCTCAGATTAATACCATTGCTGAAAGTTAGTTTTGGGTTTTCTAAGCTTCCGTACACAGTTCCTGCAAAATGTATGGATGTACAGAAATGTTAAATAACAATGTGCAATTGACCGGGACATCAGTTTTTCTTATTAAACCAAATTGTTCCCTCAATTGGGTCGTAAATTGCATACAACAAAAAGCATGAAATCTCTGATTAAAAAAAAAAAAAAAAGCCACAATTGCAATTGTTTGTAATGAAAAACATCACAGACCTGCTAATTGACCATTCACGAACACATGCAATGCATGGCCAGCAGAGAAGACTGTAAGCCAAGGCCAATTTCCGCTATTCAAAAATCCTTCTGTTGGATCAATCTCGACGCTGCGGGTAAACATAATCAATCCTAAACATGTGAGCAATCTAAAGTTGTTCGAGTGTAATTAACTTCCTTTGTTTGTTTGTGAAGCAATACCAGAAAGTAAGAAACTAAAGAGAACTTACTCAGTCATGTACCACAAATAATCAGATACATCTCTTGTGGTATTTATCTGCTCCAATAACCCAACAACTGTGTAAGTATTGTCTTCATACAATGCTGCGTCTTCGTTGTATGACTGCCAAGAGAATCCTCTAATGACTGGACTCATCTTCATCTGTGCACTTTGAGCACCAACCTTCACATTAAATTAAGAGTGTGAGACATTTTCATTATTGTGCACTAATAGCATAAGTAATTCAGGAGGTGTCTTTTTCTCACCCTCGCAGTATTATATACAGTGTTCTTGCAGTCGGGAAGAATGCTGATAGACCAGGGTGGCAAGTTATAATGCATGTTCCCAAATGCCACTTTAGCAAAAGAGTGCTGGTTGTAATTTGCAAGGAAGGCAGCGCAGGCTCCAGATTCCGACTTAAAAACACGAGCCTGTAAGAGAAAAATAAAAAGTTTGATCTCGCTTCCAATTTGGCAATGCTGACTGGTTTAAGAAGAATTCAAATGAATGTCACCTCTTGATAGTTTCCCAAGGGTGTCACAATTGGATCAGCAGATACTAAAGCTGGCTCACAAAGCTTTATTGCTCTATGCAGATCTTTCAAATGACCCCATTTAGGTTGCCGTAATAACCCTGAAGATCAAAGGGGGGAAAAAACACTTTGGTTAAACAATGATTTCCACTTCAGCTGCTCTTTTTCTTATCTTTTACATCTTCGTCCTAGTTCTAATCATGGATTTGATAGTAAAGAAACCTCATAGTAAGCTTTACTCAATAGCAGTGTGACTAACTGAACAACATTATATCATGTAAGTTTATCAACAGCAATAAACTAACTGAGAAACACAATATCATTTATGATGAAATAATTAATTTGATGGAATTATTAATATCAGCTGGTTGAACTTAATAGTAACCAGTAGGCATAGATGTCAGCCGCTTTTGCTTTAAATGCAGCTTGCATGACCTACTATAACACATGCATTGCCTTCTGAACTAGATTGACTTAAAATTTGATCACAGTGTTCGGAACAAATAAAACAACGATTTGTTTTTGGGTAAGTAAGTCATACAACAGGTAAAATTTTCCTCCATCCAAACAGAAGCACAGATCATTTGGTCATGGAGTTGCCCTTTTCTGCGGCTGTGAAATGAAAGAGCTGACTCTCGTGGGTGATGTGAAAAATTTAACGGAAAGCAGTGTACTAACGAAGCCAGGGGCTAACAGGAAAAAAAAGGTAAACCAAAGAATCAAATAGAAGAGTTGACCAAGAAAATTCTGCTTCTCCCTATTCAAATTCAAATGGTTTATGGAACTAAACAGGAGTGGTATTTTGATCCTTAACCTTCTCCTTAAACTACGAAATTCAATCCAAATATTGATTCTAAGAAAGCACATACCAAATTCATCAAGAGGTGCATCATAGTCATAACTAGTAGCAATAAATGGGCCACCAGCAGTCCTTCCAAAGTTTGTTCCTCCATGATACTGACCAAAATAGGGGGGGAAAAAGTCATAGAATCCTCCTTGGATTCATATTAAACACTTAAACTTATTAAAGTCAAATTCCAATGAAGTACCATGTAGTAATTGACAAAGGAGCCTCCTGTTTGTATAAATCTTGCGACAGCAAATGCCATATCCTCTGCAGGACGGTAAGGAACTGGACCTCCAAATTCAGTAAACCTGCCAAGATTATCAAAGCAGAAAATTATCCTGTCATGAACTCTAGCAAAGATGTAAAATAAGATATTAAGCTATAGCTTACGAGAGATGCATATGAAATTTACCAAGCTGTCCAGGCCTCAGTCCACATCTTGGGTTTATTAGCCTTATTTGGTGAGAAGTAGTCACAGTAGAAACCATTGCAAGTATTAATCTGCCCAGGGGAAGATATACATTAACATAAAGTACCAAAGTAAATTTAATTTTTAAAAAAAAATAACAGAAGACATGCCAATACAAGCTTTTTTACTGGATGTTTTAAGTTTTAGTAAAGTTAGTTATCACAAATAGAGCAAGTACAGTATCCCTTTGTTTGTAAGTTTGATTCAAACAGGTAAAAGAATGTTCTTTTACAGACCACTAAAAAGCAAACATAGTCACAAGTCGGTGACTACAAGAGTCAAAGGCAACTGAATATTTTTTTAAGAGACATGAAAACAGAAAGGAGTGGGAACATAAGCCACCACATGTGCAGGAGTTAAAAGTATTCTATTTAATTCATGACTATACATGGTGACAACTGACAACTGACAATAATTGTTGCATAAGAACCCCACTAGAAATGGGAACATAGCAGGAAAGATGCCAAGAACAAGAAGAAAATATACAGACAATGAAAATAGAAAATCAATGAAATGCTATAGAATCCACTTACTATAGGATCAGGGACATCATCTTGCTTGCACATGATCCAAGGGACACCTGTGCCAAGATCTACTGCCATTTTGGCTGCCCACTCTGAGTAAGCTTTACCTGGTTCACCTAGTTCCCACTCCATAGGTCCATACTCATTTTCAATCTGTTAAAAAAATTCAAAGACATTTAGTTACCCATTTTACCTCTTAGCTTTAGCTGTAGGAAGAACTATAAATTTGCAAGATTGAAAAGTTTTAACAACCTGAGATAGAATAATTGGACCACCCTGAGATTCATACAACCGTTCTGACTTTATCATTTCAACAATCTTGGTAGTGAACTTTTGCATTGCAGCCTAAGTTACAGCATTTTAGATAAAAAGAATAACACCATTATTAGAAACCAATCACATCAAAGTAAGACTAGTACCAAAAATTGTTGCAATGAAGAATTTTTCATTTGGCAGCTCAATCTAACCTTGAAAGGCTCATTGTCTGTTCTGAAACTGATACCTGGAACATACTTTAGCCAAACTGGAAAACCCCTGAAATTGAAACAGGTAATATGATCAAGAACTTAACTTTATGTCTATATGGGGTATCATTATTTTGGCAGATATGACAATAATTTTGAACATTACCCAAAATTCCATTCAGCACATGCATAAGGTCCAATCCTGAGATGGACATAAAGTCCTGCTTCTTGCACCACTTTAATGAACTTCACTAAATCATACCTCCCTTCAAAATAATACTGGAAAATGAAACAAAAGAGTTAGCTAAATAACAGCAAATGATGAAAACAATAAAAATTTGAAGAAAGGAGTCTACTTTACTCACCTTCCCTTCTTCAGGCTCATGTCCATTCCAGAAAACATAAGTCTGTATCACATCCACTCCTCCTTCTTTTGCCTTCTGAATAAGATCTGGCCACATCTGTGTAACCCAAAAACAAGGATAAAGATAATAACTTTATAAAAATCCAATCTTTACAAACAAAAACAACAACTATGCCTTAGTCCTAAACAAGTCAACAGTCGGCTATATGAATCCTCACTGCTTCATTTATACTCAACTCATGTGATCATCATAACAAAAGATTGTCTAAAAACCCAATCTTTAAGCAATAAAAATTAAGAGTTTATTCAGAGAGTGAGAGAGCAACTAATTTAGACACCCATTTGCCAAAAAAACAATCTTGACTAAAACATGGAGCATGAAATCAACATCTTGAAGAAAACACCAAAACAATGAGAAAGATAACATAAGCTTATAAAAATCCAATCTTTAAACAGAAAAAAATAAAAGTTCAGTTAGAGAGGAAGTGAGCAACTAATTAAGACACCCTTTTGCTAAAAAAACAATCTTGAAAAAACATGGGACAAGAAATCAACATTTTGAAGTAAACACCAAAACAATGAGAAAGATAACATAAGCTTATAAAAATCCAATCTTTAAACAATAAAAATTCAAAGTTGAGTTAGAGAGGAAGAGAGCAATTAATTAAGACACCCTTTTGCTAAAAACAAAATCTTGAAAAAAACATGGAACATGAAATCAACATTTTGAAGTAAACACCAAAACAATGAGAAAGATAACATAAGCTTATAAAAATCCAATCTTTAAACAATAAAAATTAAAAGCTCAGTTAGATAGGGACTGAGCAACTAATCAAGACGCCCATTTGCTAAAAAAAAAAATCTTGAATAAAACATGGAACATGAAATCAACATGTAAAGTAAATTGTTCACATGAATTATACCTCAGGTGTGCTTCTTGGGTAATGAATGGATCCAGAAATGAGGATTTTTCTTTGTCCATTTACAATGATAGCCTTATGATCATATGACACTGAAGCAGTTCCACAAGAAACCCATGAACTCAATAACACCAATAAAATCAACAATACATTCCACATTGCAATCCAAGAACAACCCATGTTGGTCAGCATTGAGCATTCAGCTCCCCTTGTACCTCAAGTTCTTGTGCCTTTTGCAAGGCACTTAACTTTATTCCTTCTTTTTTAGTCGCACTTTATTCTATTCTTGCATTATGTAGGGAGAGAAAATGTACTACTATAATAAGTAATAAATAGTATTGGGAGAGTGGTGAAGAGAAACAGCTGTTTTTGTTGTCTTTAGTTTTTTTTTTTTTTTTTTTTTTTTTTTTTTTTTTTTTTTTTTTTTTTTTTTTTTTTTTTTTTTTTTTTAATAACATACTTTCCCTTCTAGTGCAGAGTAAGGGAAAGAATAAAGAAAGAGAGAGAAATTTTGTCCAAATAAAGTAGTGTAGTTCCGAGTGACTGTGTGAATGTGTGACCAAGTGCGGACATTTTTTCATTATTAAAAATAAGGTTTCATAATTAAGATTTTTGTTTTTATTCTTATAATACTTACGTCGAATCTGGTGTTTATTGGAACTCTTTTGGTTTTATTCGAGACATACTATATGTCTTTTTGAGATTTTTACACTTTTTAACAATGATATCTAACAGTATTAATAATTACTCCCTCACCTCGCGTTCTTTCGTGAGAAGATATTAATTAATAAATTATTTTGATTAAATTATTTTTACTTATTTGTTACTCCTATCTTAATTTATTTCATAACGTTAATTTGTCTCCATATTTATTAGAATAACGGTAGATGTGAAAAATTAATTAATTCTTTCTTGATTTTTTAAAATGACAAGTATTTTGAATCAGTTATTTTTAATAACCATGACAACCAAGAAGAATGAGAGGGAGCATAAGATATTTGTATAAATAATTTTTTTTCTCTCAATAAATTATAATCACGTCATTTAGTTACCACTTTATTAATTGAACGGTAAGGATAGATTTACAAAAAAGAACTATAATTGACTCCATATGTTTTTATAATATCAACAACAACAACAACAACCCAATAAAATTCCACTAATGGGGTTTGGGGAGGGTAGTGTGTACGCAGATCTTACTCCTACCCTAAAAGGAGTAGAGGGGTTATTTCCGAAAGACTCTCGGCTCAAGAAAACAAAAGGACAAAAGGACAAAAGGAGATAATATTAATTAGTATCACCACAACAATCATAGGAAAAATAGGAACACCATGAAATGCAGAAGAAATATGCAAAGCAAAAGCGATAGCTAGTATATAGGACATGCACTGAAAAGCGAAGTAGTAAAACACAACATTGTCACTAGCTATCTTAGACAAAAACCTTACCTGGCTAGTCCCACAATGGTACGAAGTAAGTCAAGACTCAACTACATCCTAACCTACAACTTTAATACTCGACCTCCACATCTTCCTATCAAGTGTCATGTCCTCGAAAATCTGAAGTCTCGCCATATCCCGTCTGATCATTTCTCCCCAATACTTTTTAGGCCTCCCTCTGCCTCTTCGCGTGTCCTCCACGACCAGCCGCTCACACCTCCATACCGGAGCATCTGAGCTTCTCCTTTGAATATGTCCGAATTATCTAAACCTCGCTTCTCGCATTTGGACTTCTCCTTTATAATATCAAATATATTAAAACAACTTCAATCTATTAAAATAACTAATATTTAAAATAAGAGGTAAAGTATGTTAGCATAAAATCTGTCTGATATTTATAATACTTGTAATTTATTTGAAAAAAATATGTTTATATCGTAATTAAATAGCTTTTGTTTTAACTTTAAAAGTACGAGGATTCGTATTATTTATCAAAGTAGTTTAGAATTAAAACACAATTAGTTGATCGAATAATTAAGTGAGAAATCGGAACCTTGTTAAAATTGGTAACGAGCAGTTAGCAGCTACTTTAAATGCCGAAAGCATGGACGGTGTGGAAGTGAGGGTGGGGCCCAACCTTTCTGCATTTTATCATCTCACAAAGACTGGGTCCCACCTTAGTATTAATATCTAGTTTGGAGCTAATTAATTCGAATTTACACGCGTGTAATGTTCAATTAAATAAGAAACGCTTTCCATCATAAACTTTTATTGTTAGGACTTTGAACCAATACCTTGGATTAAAGGTGCATGGATAATTAGTCCCGGATTAAACTTGATATGAATTTAACCCATGTTTGGTTGGGATAAAATCGTATTATAACTAATTCTGAAATTAGTTATCCCGAGATTATAGTATTTTTTATCCTTATGAGATAATGAAATAATTATTCTCGATATAACTAATTCCGAAATAATTACTTATGGAATAACTTATTTACAACCAAACAACCCCTATAATTATTGATGGTCCCACTTATCTCTCCAATTATCCACAAAGCTTACATTCAATGAACAAATTTCCCCACTGCTATTTAAAGCATCTGAATTTTTCATTAAATTGGAGTAGAAAAGTTAATAATTAAAGTAGTGTTTGGCTGTAGTTAGAGAAGTGAATTTAATTGCGGGTTTTAAAGCTACTGAACAAAGATTCCTTTTCTTTTCTTTTTTTTCATTTTCTTATACCACACCAGCACCGGCGTACCGTACAAATATTCTCTCCAATCCTTATAGGGTCGGTTCCGGGTTTATGGGTCGGATCGTCTTGTTTTCTCAAGTAATTTTTACATTGTTATACATTATTTGAAACTTTATTACCCTCCCTACTCAAATTTTAATTTAATTACATCATATATACAATTTATCAATTATATACACTTTATGAGTATTTCTTTATATTATGAATCAAATTATTTCTCATCTTTATTCTCTCTCCCTCATGCGCTCTCTCTCTCTCTGTCCCTTTCTCTCCTGCGCTCTCTCTCTCTACGTCTCTCTTTATCTCTCAATCCCTAATTTCAATAATGTAGATCAAAGAAAAAGAGGGCAGCAATTCCATGCTTATTGAAATTCCATTAATGTAGAGTTGAATGTGTTGCACAATTGGTGTTCAGATTCCAGTAATGTTGCACAATTGGTGTTCAAATTGAAAATGTCAATCAATAAATTTTGAAGGTGTTTGGCTCTCCACCATTGACAACCATTAAAAGGTTTTGAAGCTTTGAATTCGAATTTGGGTTTTCAAAAATCATTATTTGTTTTGATTGGATATTGTTGTAAATAATTAGGAATATTGTTTGGAGCTTATATCTCAATTTTGAGGGTGTTTTGATGAAGATTAAACTTGATTTTGGCTGAATTTAAGATTGAAACTCGAAGATGAAGAAGAAGACATGACATACATTATACTTACNATATATAATTAGTTGTATAAAATTTATTTTTACTATGTATAAATCAGATACAAAATATACAAAAAACATATTGTATAAAAATTGTATTTAAGTGGTGTGATATTGTAGTTGTATATAACTAGGTAGAAATAATGTATGAAAGTTGTAGATAAGTTGTATAATATATAATTAATTGTATGAAATTTGTTTTTACTATGTATAAATCAGATACAAAATATACAAAAGACATATTGTATAAAATTTGTATAAAAATTGTATTTAAGCGGCATGATATTGTTGTTGTATATAACTGGATAGAAATAATGTATGAAAATTGTAATTATATAACAATTGATAAATGCTCTGTAATGGCTGAAAGTAATGCGTCGTAACTTGACTCCGAGTTTATCACAATTTTGTCGACATTGAAATTAACACATCGACTACTGCTATCCCATCGACTATTATGTTGAAGCATGGCTGCCATTGCCGCCATTGAAGTAAAAAACGAAGCTATTTATCTAAATCATCGTGATTTCAATACTTTGCAACAAAATTAGTGTGTTTTAAAGCTTGATAATATCGTTGTATTTTAAGAAACTATGGAGAATTTGTAACTCGTGTATGAGTAGGTCGTTGATGGCAGAGAGAGAAAATAGAGATATTTGAGGAGAGAAAAAAGGAAAAAAAGTATAACTAAATCCTTTGATTGAAGACACTAATAATGGATTGAGAACCTTTCAAATAGTGTATAAGAATAAAAAATTAATTTTCTCAAACCACAAACGCGCGTGCAATGTCTCCGTAGTCACTACTACTATGTTATTGGTAAGTGACCTCACGCTCTTGGGATAATCGTATTTTGGGGCAATTGTAATTAATTATGTTAATCAGTTCGGGAGAGCACAAGAGGCAACAGCCCAATCTTTTAAAATATAAGAGATTTTTTCTTTCCTACACAATATTTAAAACTTATTTATTAAAATTGTCATAATTTTATATATTATCCGTCCTAACTAAGGTTTACTTACAATTTATATATAATCAATTATTAGCGTCTTAAATAGAAATTCAATTACTTTCTTTTTTATTTTCTCCTCTCCTCTTTCCCTATTCCTTGTCGCTTATCTCCACTCAAAACTCCCTTAATTGAGTATCAAAATATGTGGGTAGTGAAGCCAAGCTACATATTTTACTATGTAGTAACTAGTAGCTAGGAAAATAGGAATTTCCAGACAATTTTATGTTTGAAGTATCAAAGCAATATTCGGCATATATCGACAAATCATTCATACTATTGCTTGTCCATTTGAGAATAAATTTATTTATTGTCAAAACTTTTAAGATCCAAGAAAAATAGTTTCGGACATAAAAATTAGAGTGCAGATTTTAGTGTTGAATAACCATCGAACCCAATTTTGGTCTTTTGAGGATGGGTTATAATATTGGGTTCTTGAAAAAATGCATACTTATTTTACCTAAGAAAAGAATAATGTATGATACTACAACGTACAAATTAGAAATAAATTTCGTACAAATTTAAATATCTGCAACATTATACATACGAAAAATAAATTTCATGCAACTAATTATATAGTATACAACTTATTTACAACTTATCTATAATTTTCATACATCATTTCTACCCAGTTAAATATAACTACAATATCATACAACTTAAATACAATTTCATACAAATTTTATATAATATGTCTTTTGTATATGATTTGTATATATTTTGTAAGTGGTATGTTCTTCTTCTTCTCTGAAATTCCAATCAAAACTCTCTCTTAATATATTTTTTATACATATCAACAACTTTATGTAAAAATATAGTATTTATAACTTAAATACAAATTTCATACAACGATTCATACATTATACAACTATTTTTCAATTTTGATACAACATTCAAATAATTTTT